TCTCTTATAATTGTTATTTGTCTCAATTCTTAAAAAATCCTTTCATTAAAATATTAGTTCAGACATAGGTATTTGCCCTACAGTATATGTTCTTCAGTGAAGACAAATACAATTCTTTCTAGTCTTCTGCAATTCTGAATCTTTAGCACTCTTTTGACCCAGCCAGTTTCCTGTATCTAATGTATTTTTTAATCACAGGTCTCAATGTTATTGGCAATATGCTCCTCAAAATCCACTTTTTTTCTTTGTACCTTGTTTGAGCATGTTCACAAGACACAGAAACCCACCCTGTGAATAAGGTATACCATGTGGGGTGTTCACCTAACAACCCATGGTGTGCCTGACAGATGATGGGACTCCCCATGGGTTGGTTGTTCTTCCTCATTGGTCTTTCAGCCTTCAGTATTCTGCATGGCAGAAGCTCTCTTCTCTCCCTTTCCCTGCTTTGATCAGTATTACATTTTCATTGTGGGGCGGGGGGGGGGTGTCTCAGAGCCACATGCCACTTCTAGTAACAACTGCATTGCAAATTTCTTTTCATTTACTATCTAGCCATGCAAGCTGCAAATATCCCCTTCACTTAGTTCTAGCCACAGCATACCTGTCCTCCCTTCAATCCCTGAATGCACAGATTTTAAAGAAACTTTAAAAAACCCCTTAGATATTGCAGAATGGGATGGAACAGAATGCTGCCCAAATGAGACCCCACATCAGGATTTCTTGATAGTTGTCAGGAAACTGCAACAAGTGCCCTGAACAAGAGCTATGAAAATCAGGTTGCCCTAAGATCTCCCCTTTTTGGATCAGCTGGAGACTTGCTAAGGGTTAGGATTACAGTTTATACTACTCATTTTGCAGTTTCTTTCCCAAAGGGTGTTTCAATTGACAGCTAGACAACTGAGTGCTGTCATGTGTTCACAAATTAGCCTATACGGCAGTGACAACCTTTCAAGAGCAGCTAGGGGGTTTAGCTGCTTTTGCCAAGCAACTCACCATTTCCTGCAACCCACAATGGAATCCATCTCCCAGCTTTGGATGACAAGCAACCTCTCCTGAGTTAAATCCCTAGAAAAAGCTATGGATTGTTGGGGTGGCTTGTGGCCAAAACAACAACAACTTGACTGAAACATGTTGGATTTGGGTGACATGGCAACCCACTATGACTAGTTACCCACAATGGGTGGCTGTGCCATGCACTGTCTCTTGCATTTCTCTGGTACAGGTTTGTCTTCCTCTTTCTTCTCTTTGTTTAGCCAAGACTTCAATTTTCTGCAGGAAGTCTTGTTATCTCTAATAGCTTTCTTGAAGTTGTTAATTACCATGATGGTGTCTGCTTGCACTTTGTGTTACCTTTCCTGACCTATAGTTTACATTCTAGCTGAGCTTCTGTTATTGTGGTTTAGAGTGAACCCTTCCAAAACACACACACACACATTTTGAAGACATTTCACCTTCTTGGTTTTCCCTTTCATCTTTGTTTTTACCAGTTTGTTCATTTTAGGGATATGTCCTCTTTTGAATTCAGTATGTTGATTTGTGTGACAATTTTCCATTATAAAATTAAAATTGATAGTGCTGTGATCACTGTTCTCAGTCAATTCAATAATTTGATTTTGCAGTAGATTTTGACATCATTTAGGATTAAGTTCAGGGTCACCTTCTTTCCCATGAGTGTTTTAAAGCATAACTGTATCTAGAATATTAACTCACTGTCATCACTGGAACACACATCTATCCATAGAATGGAGGTCAATTGAAAGAATCCATTACTGGAACACATTCTCCTTTGGATGTCTCTGATTTCCTTCTCCATCTCAAGATCACCCTGAAAGAGATGGCCATCAGGATGATAGCATACCTAGAATAGAATTATTACTGGGGCCTAGTATTGTGACCCAGAGTGAGATTCTGTAGAGGAATCTGGCACCTTTGAATGTTCACATTTGTTAGATAAGTTACCCTCTTTGATAATAGAGATCAACAACATCCATAACACCACCCCTCCCTGCCCTTCCTGAAGAGTTTGTATCAGAGATTCAAACATTCTACTAAATCTGTCTGTTCTACCAGTTTCAGTTCTCCTTTAAAACCAAGCAAGCACTCCCATTCTTCCAAGTTGGCCTGGAAACCTCTAACATTACCATAGAAACATGTATACAATACAGTATCCCTTTCCAAATGTTGCTGGCATGTGTATTTTCTCCTTTGATCCCTCAACTTCTGCAATAAGTTATGTTTTACAGCCCCCTTTTCTTGCTGTACTACTGGGGAGATCAGAAATATAAATGATTTCTAGAGGTACAATAAGAAAATCTTCTAGTAAAACAAGCTCTGGTCTTACAACTGCTATCAGTTTTAAATAGGTTTGTAATCATTCTGTTGAAATTAATGGGACTTACATCTAAGTAAATATGCTTTGAATTGCAAAGTTAATAACTGGTTTCAATCTGCATCCCTCAATTCATTTAGATGAAATTCTGTAGCCTTCTGCAACCTCAGAGTTGGGATTCCAAAAGACTAGCCCCTGCCCCACTCCTGTTGCAGCCATCCTAGAAAGATTCCTGTGAGCTGCCCTGAAAAGGGGTACACAAGGAACCAGAGAAGTGGGGAGACTGAGGCTGCCATACGGATTCCTCTCAGTGCCCCAGCCTCTTTCCCTTCCCTCTCCAATACTAAATCTAGATGGTCAAAAGTAGCCAGCAGGAGTCGATACATGTGGCAAAGTATGGCCGCAACAGAGATCACCACAACTACCCCTTGTTCCATGCATGTAAGCATGTAAACAATCCTATGCTTGATTAAGCAAAAAAAAAAAAAGCTCCACAGTTTTCAGCATACCTTTACCAGCCATGCTAAGAGTTATAGAATGCTTTTTCTATTTAAGCAGCTGTAGGATTACACCCTAATCATAAGTTTAATCAACAAATTGTATGCAGCAGAATCCTATATGGGTTTAATTAGATGTAAGACTCACTGTGTTCAAAGGGACTTACTTCCATGGAAGTATGTATAGAATTATAACCCTAAACTGCAATCTTATATATACTTACAGATTGAGCATCACTGAACTCAGTAGTACTTCTGAGTAAGCATGCATAGAACTGTGCTATTAGTTAACTGGTGGAGACCCATCAAGATATAGACATGGTTCACACAATATGGTGCAGTTCATCATAGCTTATTAATCCACAATGAGCCACTAGGCAGATGGGCACCACTTTGCTTATCTTGGGGTTGTCAAATCATGCAAATCCAGCAAACATTGTTTGTGTGAAGACTAAACAAACTTTTATAAACTATGATTCATTCTAAGTTATGTGTGGTTTGTCTAATTTTCACATAAATCATATTCATCAGGTTTCCATGACAGGACAACTCTCAAGTAACACCTGGATAGGCAAAATAGCAGCAGCATGCCCTACAGCCTCAACATGGGTTAAATAATCCATGGTGAACTGTTACATCATGAAAAACAGTCTAATATGTAGAAGTCAAATTTAGTAAACAAAATGGAAATAATTATAAGACTCTCAAGCAGGTCAAGAATTGCAAGTAATTTTTCATCTTTCATCCTTTTATTGACATACAATATATCAAAATACATATTGGAAAAAGTTAGTTATAATTCCCTCTTATCTGGAAGGCAGTGTGAGATAACTTAAAACTCAATACACTAAAATTGTTATCCATTATTTGAAAGAAAGACTGGGGTTTTTTTACACTTTGCAGTGACATACTAGAATGAAAATCTAAGAGGACAATCCTGTGCATGTTTAGACAAAAATCAGGAGGCTACAATGCTCATCCCCTCCCAGACAGTCTTTGTTTTGTCTAAACAAGTATACAAGTTGCACCTTAAAAGAATAAGCAAATCTGCTTTAAGCTCCATTCTGGAAGATTGTTAGGGGGAAATCCAAAATTTATATACTGAATTTGGGAATTTCTTTGGGGGGAAGGTGAATATACTTTCTGAAACGGGAATGAGATTACTTACTGTATAAATTCTACTGCATAAAGTGATGGGCAGGGCAATCCTCTAGTCCCTGAGATAGCATCCCAGGGCCCACAAGTATGGTGGATTTCTTCTTCCAAAGTTGTGATATTGCTGTGACCTTGGAAGAGTAAATTTGAAACTGAACTGTTCCTCCTCACTGCCTTTGTGGAAATCTGTGGCTGCTTCTAAGGTCACAGCAGTGACCTTGGAAGATGTTGAGATAAAAGAAAAAGAGGTGGAATGGTGGGTTGGGAGGGAGGAAGAAGAGGCCAGAATTAGCAAGATCTTAAAACTTCTCTATCTCCTGTGCTGCCCACAACATGGAAGGTCAGCTACATAAGCTAAGAGGCTTATCTAGTTGAATATATATACATATAAAAACAAGAAGGTTCGGGGGAATTTAGGGTGTTGGAGCCCTCTATTGAGTGGCAAACTCAGAGTGATCCTTTGAATACAATCTCTGGCAAAATGGCCTTATTAAAAAGCTAAGAAGATCTCTGCTAGCTCATATTTGGCTCCGATATCCTGTTTACAGCATTATCCCGCCAGATGCTTTTGGAAGGCCCCAAAGCAGCACCTGAATGCAACAGATCTCTCCCACTGCTTGGACACCAACAACTAGTTCTATTTAGCTGGCATACTTTATAGCCACTGTTAGGCCTCCCCTCCATGAAATTGCCTAGTCCCCTACATCAAGTGGTCATTGCCTCATAATTCAGCAGTGAGTCCACAACTTGGATATGCTTTATATGAAGAACTACTTTATTCTATCTGTCCTGAATCTCTTGCCGATCAGTTTTGGGGATGACCCTGAATTTTAACATTCTGAGGGAGAACACTATCTCTCTGTCCCATTTTCCGCACCATTCATAATTTTATTAACCTCTATCATGTCACCCCACCCCCACTTTTAGCCATCTTTTCTTTATATAGGTTAAGGAACATTGTCCTCTTAACCTATATATTAATGGTTCTTCCATTTTTGCTTGCCCTCCCACCACAACAGTTTGCTTGACAGTCCAAATCGTCTAGATGAAGAGCACAGACTGATCGCCAGGTATGCAGCAAGGCTGGCAGCAGAGACTACTTCTTCAGTAAGTGGCTTTAATTAGGGGGATGATGTTTTGCTTTTCCTTTCTCTCTCTTTCTTTCTTTCTTTCTTTCTTTCTTTCTTTCTTTCTTTCTTTTTTGCTGAAATGATTTGCCAAGTTGAGAGAAATTAATTCAGATAGTTGCAGTCCAGTGCATGTTACCACACTAACGATAGTCTACCACTTTCCCCTGAGATATGCTCGCTTCCATCTAATGAGCTACCTCTAACCATGCTTAAAGATAGATTAGCACCAATCTAGAGGTAATTACCACAGTTACATCTTGATGTAGCAAGTAAATAAGTCACTATCCAAAGCTCTGCAGCACTCCAAGGAGCCCTGCAGAAGCAAGGTTCATTCTGGGTTCTTTAGTACCAGAAAATGTTCTATACACACAGTGGAGAATTTCCACTGGGCATGAAGTGCTGTGCTCATCTTCTTTAGAATTTTATCCACAGTGGTTCAGCAAGAAGATCAGATTATAGCAGCTGTTTGCATTCCTTCTTCCTTTATTTTTTGTATGTAAACTAACCATAGCAAAGCAATTCTGTTTCTTCAGTGAGTTAAGCATATCCTCAATACTCAGCAGAATAGAGATGCAGCACTTTTATCTTTTTTTTTCCTTTTGTTTTATGAATAGCATATCATCTGTGTTCTGAATAGCTTTCTATAATTTATACAGCAGTTTATAATGAATCATTCTCATTCCCCAAAATTCTATTAATCTGAATTTATTTCCTGAATCATGGCATAATCCTATGTACATTTACTTAGAAATAAGTTCCACTGTGCTCAATGGGTGCAATCCTGTACACACCTGGGAGTAAGATCTGCCAAATTCAGTTTGCATGATCTATATTTAAATTACAGCACATGCTATTTCCATAATTCTGAATGCAGCTTGTCTTCTCACCTGATCCCAGGTGGCATGGCTTGCTGGAGGAACAAATCACCCTGCAGGAAATTATGGTAAGGTTATTGAAGGGTTATTTGCTCCTCCAACAAGACATGTTTCCCAGGCTCAGTTAACACAACAATGACCATGGTAATTGTATGTCCCACAAGGTAGCACCCAAATTTAAATGAGCCACCATGTCTTATTTTGGCTGTTCAAACCAGGTCTATGAAACTTTCTTCTGAATAGACATGAACAGGATTGTGCTGTTAATTAGGTTCTAATAAAGTTGTTTTAAAAGGCAGCTATAGATATTAGTAGACCACTGGGGGTTTTAAGAATGTTTTTGAGTATAATATATATTATTTATTGGTTTGTTTGTTTGTTTCATTTATCTACTGCCAAAGCTTTGAGTGGTTCAGACAAAGTATAAAAACACTAAAATATAATAGATAAAAACACTAACAAGAATTAAAATTAATTTAAAAGAGCATAAAACAATAAAAAAGACCCATCCAAGAATAAAAGAATGGCCAAGAATAAAAGACCAACAGGGCCAAGTCCCTGAATGACCAGGAAGGTCTCTAAACACCTTCATAAAGAGGGCTGTCAAAATCTGGTGCCAAAAAGATGGCAAATTTGGTGCCAGGCAGGCCACAGCAGGGAGGGTATTCCACAGATGGGGTTGGCACCCAGTGGAAGGCCACAGAGGTTGAGTGTAGTGTCCAGGTAGATAGGGGTTTGGAGAGCCACTCCAACAGGTACTGCAGTCCCAAGCCATGTAGGGCTTTATAGATTAAGACCAGCACCTTGAATTGGAACCAGAAGTATGCAAGCAGTCATTGCAGGTGGCACAGAACTGGTCTTATATGCTCAGAACTCTGTGTCCCAGCTATTAATCTGGATGCCACATTCTGCACCAATTACAGCTTCTGAACTATCTTCAAGGACAGCCCCACATAGAGTGTGTTGCAGTAATCTAATCAAGAGATTACCAGAGCATAGATCACTAAAGCCAGGCTAATACTGCCCATGTAGAAATACCTACTGACCACCAACTGAAGCTGGTAGAAAGCACTCCAAACCACCAGTGCCACATGAGCCTCAAGTGACAAAGATGGATCAAGGAACACTCCCAAGCTACAAACATGCTCCTTCACAGGGAGTGCAGTCCTGTCTAGAACTGGTTGAACACCCCATCCAGTCAATGAAATCACCAACAGCATCTCAATCTTGTCTGGATTGAGTTTCAGTCCATTAGCCTTCATCCAGTTCATCAGTGTAGCCAGATGCTGGTTTAGCACATCCACAGCCTCACCTGCTGAAAAGGAGAAATAAAGCATACTGATGGCAGCATACTCCAAAATTCCAGATGATCCCACTCAGCAGTTTCATGTAGATGTTAAATTGCATGGGAGACAGAACAGACTCTTGCAGAATTCCATGCTGGATTATCCATGGGACTGGACAATATTCCCAAGCACCTCCAAGTAGGAGTGGAACCATTGCAATGCAGTGCCCTCCTCTCCCACTTCAGCCAGCCACTCCAGAAGGATACCATGGTTGATGTGTTCCTGGCACAGGTCAACCAAGGCTGTTTCCATGCCAAACTCTGGTTGAAATGGATCCAGAAAATCAGTTTCATCCAAGAGTGCCTGAGGCTGATTAGCAACCATCCTCTCTAGAACCTTGCCCTGGAAAGGAATATTTGCTACTGGCCTGCAGTTGTTCAAATTTTCCTAGTCAAGTGGGGCTTCTTGAGAAGTGGTCTCATCACCACCTGTTTAAGGCAGCATGGGACCACTCCCTCTCTCAAAGATCTCCCTTGGCCAGCCAGTTATCCCTTCCCAGCTGGCTTTTTTGAGCTGGGGCAGCAAGGATTCAGTACTGACATGGTTGTAGGAAACTGTCCAAGCACCTTGTCCACATCCTTCAGCTATACCAAATGAAACTCATCCAATAAAATTGGACCAAACTGTGCTCTAGATAGCTCCACCAATTCAACTGCTGTAACTCTGGAATCTGACTTCCTGTGGATCCAACAGATTTTTTTTCCTGGAAGTGCCCAGTGAGTAGGTTACAGTGGGCCAAAGATGGGCTAAATATATAGTTTTTTGAACAAAAGAGGGTGAAGCAAAAACCTAATAAAAGACTGGGGGTGGCATAAATAAGTCCAGTTTAGTTTCTTTTATTCCCACCTTCACATATTTTGAACAAGAAAGCATAAACAAAATGTAAACAAGCTCCCCGTAAAATATCCACAAAATTCATTCTCACTTTGAAAGCTGGTTCTGACATTAGTTCCTCTGTAAGCTAGTTCTCTTTCATATAAAAGCATGCAAGTCAAAGCCATATTTCTAAATGATGCATGAAGCAAAAGACAAGCAATATATGTTTAGGAGGCAAATCCTATGTAATGCCATATAACTGGAGTTCACTAACAGACATGACACAACTTCTTTTGGATATAATAAAGATTTATGAATCATCATTATTTTCCACATCGTGTCATTCATATGGAGCACCATCATGCTAAGGTTAGCTGTGCTTAGGTTTTTCTATAACCATATGCTTGGCTTTAGCAATTAATCTTCTTATCTTTGATTGACTTGTGAATTATACCTCTGGTTTCAGTATGTTTGTTGATAATCTTTTAATCTTTGCAAAAGTATTCCTCTTCATGTAATGTGATAGAGTATTGAAGACAAATTGAATTCTAGCCAATTTAGATTCACAGAAGATGAATTTAAGCAAGCCAGTGTGTTGTAGTGTCTAGATGCTCAACTGGGGCCAGGAGATCTGGTATCTAGTCCCTACTTGGCCATGACAACCACTGGGTGATTGTGCCCGATCACTGGTCTTAGCCTAATCTACCTGTTGTGAAGATAAAATAAATAGAAGAGGATCTATGTAAACCACCTTAGGTTCTTTGTATAAGGAAAAATATGAGCTATAAATATAAGAAGTAGCAGCACAACTCAATCTACATGCCATATGTGAATATACCCTTGGAGTACAGTTTCTCTATAAACTGCCTGCTATTGTGACATGCTGGAAGGATCATTGTGATAGCGTCATTTTGAGATGTTCAATACAGTCCTCACAGAGCTACAATTCCCTGTGCTCGTTGGTATATGTCAGGCTAGTTCAATCAGCTTCCAATCAATTTCAGCAAGGAATGTAGGTGTCTCTGATATTATCTCCACTGCAGCAGATATATTCTCACTTTGTAAAGTATGTTTATATTTTATTTGTTTGTTTATTTATTTAAAACTTTTCCATGCCATCCCTCAAGCAAGGCATCTTCGGATGGCTCACAGGCATCTCAGGACAGGCCCACATTATGATTTAAATATTTATAACCCAACTTTTGCTTCCATAATACATCCCCAACTGGTCTCACATCTGTCAGAAATAAAATAATCAGGTGTTTAGAAAACTGACTACAAGAACAGCAGAAATACTAAAAACCAAACAAAAACACAATGTAAGGATGATACGTTTAAACCCTGTCACTGGAATTTTGCTAACATAGTAAATCACTAGTGGAAAAACAAGATTAGCTATTCCTCTTCTGGTGGAATTGTTACGTTCACAAGGTCTTGTAGCTGTTTGCATTTATGTTAAGGGATGCCTTTTGTTAGTTTGATTATGTGCACTGACTCTCATTTTTTTTAAAAATAATTGTGCTCCTTTATTATCTGTTCATTATAGTGCTGTTTTCCTGGGACTGCTGGTTTTGTTGTCTTTTGGATGATTTGGATTGGAATCCAAGCCAGAGAATAATTGCCAAGTTTCCTGATTGAAACACAGTTTGCACCTCTAAAAGAGAAATCTCTCCTGGCCAAACAGCCTTTGTCAGCCAGGGATCATGAGGGCTTGAGAACCAAAGACTGCCTGCACAGGCAGCTCTGTCAGCATGTGCAACTTCACAGTGTCCTCTGTGACTGGACTGGCTGTTGGGGTTGCGGTGGGGAAGGGGAGTGCCAGAGAAGTAGCCCAGTTAGCACAGATTGCCCTTGGAGCAAGAGGATCCTCAGGAGTTGGCAGGCTTTCAGTTTTTCCCCATGAAGCCTTTGAGATCTTCCCCTGCAAGAGACGTTATTGTTCTTACAGTGTTTTATTTTTTGAAGGAATGATTTCTAATTTAATCCAAGAGAGTTTTAAGTTTTAAATTAATCCAAGAGAGTTTACTCTCATGCTCATACAGACTATGATTTCCAGTGAAAGAAAAAATAATAATGAATGTTTTCAATGTGCAGCACAATTTTTCAGGGGTAAGAGCAAATTAACATGACTCATCTCTGTACTATAGCTAAGGTGCTTCCAGAAGGAGGGGCCCTGACATCTGAAGACATTGTGTAGCAATTCAGTTGTTTTTGTTGTTGTGTCCTGGATAGGGATGGCTTGGTGACAGTGAAACAGGCAGTGGTAACCTCAAGATGAGATTGCTGCAATGTGCTCTATGAGCTCTACCCTCTTTTCTCCTTTGCTAAACTGCACTGGTTTTCAGTTCACGACCAGGCCTGGTTTAAGGTTTAAGCAGTAGTGTAAAAAGTTCTGAACTTGGGACCAGGATACCTGACAGCGTGTCTTCTCCTATACCAACCTGGATGGTCCAGAGATATCTGGAGGACATTCTCCTCTGACTGGAATCCAAGAGGAGAAGAGACTTCATTGTGGCAACTTCATTCCTGTGGAATCCCCTGCCCCAGGAGGTCAGGCAGACACCAACACGGTGCTGTTTTCAGCACATACTAAAAACAGTCTTGAGCCAGAAAGCTTTTTCTTGCTGGTCTGTCTCCATCTTAATGTTCTTTTGTTTTTAAATCTTTAGATGTTTTCATGCTGGTATTTGCTCTAATCTTATACCACTCCAGAATCTGTTTGCATGTGTAGCATTATAGAAATACTTTTAAATTAACAAACAAACAACTTAAATCCGTATGACTGGATAGAATGAAGTGAGGCTGAGCAAACCTTACGTGGGCAGTAAATGGGTCTGACAATCAATTGCTGCTAACTCTGCATAGTTGATTGCACTGTGTGTGCTCTTCCCACACATTTTCCATGAGAATTCATGTTCAGAGCTCACACATGATACTGTGGTTCCACCTAGAGCTTCTTCCATAGTGGTCTGGGAGCCCAGAGGAAGGAATGGAGCATGCCATGGCTAAGTCATGGGAGATAACAAAGACCCCCTTTCTGTGTCCACAGCCTGTGGCTGCGTGATTTGAGTTGTTAAGCCTCAAAGGCCTTCCCCCTCTCCATCCAAAATATTATTGGGAAAACCCCAAAGGCAGGCTTTTCTTGTGAAGACCACATTTCCACCTACGAGTTATGTAGTTGAGCCTTCACCTCCTATTTCTCATTGTACTACTCTTTCCTGTCAAGTTGACAATGCAATCTTAGGTTAATTCTACTCCAGTGTAGGTACTGACAAACAAGAGATGCTGGAGCTCACAGAAATTCTCTGAACACCATTTCAAAGCTTAGTTTGCTTTACTGTCATTTTAATTGGTGACCTGTGAATTTCAAATGGGGAAAGTGCACATTTCTATGTCCATTTCTTTAAAGTGTGCACTTTTCCCCATTGACTAAAGCATTAAAATGTGCATCTCTTCAAAAATGTTGACTTCAGTGTGTTCACATTTGTTTAAAATACATATTTTCCCAAATATGCAATTGAAAGCTCAAGACTAGGTAAGCATTTTCCAGAATAAAAATGCACTCCCATTCATTTTCATATTGCAAACAAGGCAAGTTTTGATAATCTGCAAACTAAAAAGAAATTCTCACTTACCTTTTCTCCAGAGTAAGTCCATGTCTTCAACTGAGCTTTTTCCCAAGTAAATGGTTATAAAGTTATTAATTGCATTCTAAGGCTTCAATTCTGCACATGAAGTTTGGCAATTAGCAGGTGGCCACCAGACCCTTCCCATGGGCTGCACTCTCTCTGGTCCCCTCCCCTAAGTGGGTTAGCAATATGGAGCACTAAATAGGCCAAATGTAGCTTATTTTAAAATTATTTTAACCTATTGACTGCGTCATAGTGGATATGGAGTATAGTACAGATCAACTTTAATTTGGCCTTTTTAAGGCTCTGAAATGCTAAGGTGTCCCCCTTTTTTTGTAAAACACACACACACACACACACACACACACACACACACACACACACTGGGGCAGTGGATGCCACATGTTGCCCAGTCCTGTAATATATACTTACTTGAAAGTGTTCCTTTAACTCAGCTGGACTTATCTCCTATGTCCTGCTCTTGACATATGCATTCTTTCTTGTGTGATTGTAGAAGAGAAAAGGTGGACCTTCTGCTTTACAAGATATATGTATCTAGTTCTCATTTCCAATAATATGACAACCTGTCTTCCAGCAGCCACAGCAGCAGCCTCAGCAGAGAGGTGCTCCAGATATCTCATTCTCTATCGATGCAAATAAGCAACAACGACAGCTTATTCAGGAGCTTGAAAACAAAAACAGGTAAGGGTCTATAATCAATTTTCTGCAACACACAGTCAGGCTAAATAGATATCTGTGGGTGAAGCAAGAGGCATAGATAAACAATATCAAGACAGAGCATACAAAGCCCATACAGAATTTATCATGAGAGGACCCGTAGATATAGAATGCAGCAGAATCCAATCAGTCACTTCCACTTGAGCTAGTTCTGTTATGCTCCAACCCTTTCCCTGTTCAAGTGGCCCCCAGTACTTTCACAATGGTAATTTAACACTTTTGGGGTAAGTAGAAATTCATTTTTGGAAAGAGGCACATTAGCAGAGCTCTCATAAGTGTGCTGCACTGAGCTCCCTCCTTTCGGAAATGAGTATTTCCATTCATTTGGGGCTTCCTTTGGAAACCCTAAATCTTCCTCGTGTAATTAGTGGGGTCCACATGCAGAACAGAACCAGTGGGACCAATTGCTTGCAGAAGGGAAATGAAGGGCTATAAAGGGATTCCCAGGGATTCTGCTTTGGTTTATTACAGTGCATTGGGGTTGCTGTATATGTCTCTTCTTTGCCATGTGATCATTGTAGAATTAGCACCTTGGTGATATCAGGTAGAAAATTGTGGCAGGGCAAATTGAGGACCAGTAACCTATGCATCCTCACTCTGAAGTATGGCCCAACAAAATTCTGGTATGATTGGAGTTCACAACCAGCCACTACACAATAGTTGTTGACTAGTAAGTTCAACCACAGTTTGTCAAGGAATTCACAAACAAATTTCAGTCTGATTGCTAAGTTAAATGATTTGAGGACTAAATAGGTCCTCAAAGTCCTATTTGGGTCTAAATAGGTCCAAGTAGAAATTATAATGCAATCTGGTTTTTATGATCTTTGAAAGTATTTATTTATTACATTCTTATCTGGGTCCTTTTCCCAAGTGTGAGGTGGCATATCTCACTGTTTTGTCATGCACACACCTTGGGGAAGTTCACACAATAGAAACCTCAGTGATTTTTTTTTACCTCTGTTGGTCTGTCATGCCATACTCTTCATGGCATTTTTGCATGGTACATTTTAGAAACCACAAACAGAAACAACAATCTGTTTTAAGGTTTTGTGGTACCCTGATGATTTGCTGTGTCATCTGAACTTGGAAAAAACAACTCATCATGGTTCCAAGGCCAGAACCATAGAGCTACTTAGCAAGAGCAACCTAGTGCCACTGCCAGCAGCTGTTTGTGCAGCTGTCAGGAGCATCCCTTCTCTGCCCACCTTCTCCCCAAAAGATCAACTTTGGAACAGGAGTGGTCATTCAGTTTGTTGGTGATGGGGCAGGGGTGATTCCAGTCACCTCTGCCCCCCATGTGTATGTGGGAGGAGCAAGAATCAGCTGGGTAGTGGTGCCCAGTTGGGGGCTGTGGCACTCAGCTGATTCCCATGCTGACACCCGCCCCGCCCTCCTCCTTTCTCCTGCTTGCCAGAGAGGCAACTTGAACCTGACAGCCACCTCTGCAGGAGCAGCAGGGAAAAACAGGGGATGAGTCCTTCTTCTCCCTTCATCCTGCCACTTACAAGAAGGATACTTTGTGGCCACTGTGTTGGGGACACCCCTCTCACAAGCAGGACTGAGAAAGGGGGACAAGTGGGAGAGTCACCTAGTTCCTCCTGGGCACCATGCCCAGCTGATTATTCTCCCTTCCCCTCACACCCACAAGGGGCTTTCCCCAGTGCACGCAGAGGGGGAGCCAGGGCAATTAATTGAGGATTTAGTCCTCCACCAGGCACCATTGCCCAGCTGACTCTCCCACTCACACTCCCAAGGGGCTTCCTCAGGCAGGTGTGGAAGCAGAGGGAAGAACTGGCTGAGTGGGACTATTTCTTTCCACAGCACTGACCAATTGATTTTCCTCCCTTTTGCCTGAGTGTGGAGGCAAAGGGCCTGATCAGTTCTCTCGTCACCTTTGCTGTGCCTTGCAGCATGAGCTCTGTTTGCACAACAGGGACTGCTTGACAACAGCAGTGAGCGGAACTCAGCTCATGATCAGAGCTGCCAAAAAGAGGAGCTGCATTCCTCCACGTACTGTTTCCTGGGATTCCACGTGGAGGACTGAGAGGGAAGCAAATGGCAGAAAGGAGGAAAGTTGCCACCATGAGCCTGATCATCTGTCAGGCACACTGAGATTAAAAAAACAACAACTACAAACCATGGTTACTATGCAGTGTTGCTTGTCATGACAAGCAAACTCGACCCTGCATATCAGTTAGGCTGACAGCCAGAGCAGTTATTACTTTAAAGATGTTGGTAGCATATCAGGGGCAAGGAGGCAGGCCTGTAATTTATATTGGCTAATACAGGTCATTATTCAGGAATATAAATTGCTCTCATGGTGACCTTGAGCTGGATCAGGACCACATCAGTGGAAGGCTTAAAGCACCACCAGCAGCAGCTATGTTGGGGTCCTAATCCAGATTGGTCCTCATGCGTTGATTCTATAGTATCCCCCCCCCCCCCCTAAAAGTAGCTGTTAACTATGTCTTTAAAGTAATGCCTACTTTGGGTCAGAAATCCTTTGATTAGCACAAAGTCACCCTAGTGAACTTCTTGGCCAAATGGAGGTCCTAGTCCTGACTCCCATACCACATTGACTCTCTAAATGCTAGCAGATTATGCACTCAGAAGGACAGAGCCCATACCTTCTTGGTCCCCTGTGACATGATGGAAAAGGACAAGTGCATTATGCAGATCCACATGGTCTCATCCAGTTAAGCAATACCTTATAGCTGCAGTATTTTTGTTTTCTGTTTTCTCTGGTTTTGGATGTTTTTACTTATTTATTGGACTGAAAGCAGCAGCTTGCACTAATCACAAGCCATTTGTGTGGTTCCCTGAGGTTTCTCAAGTGGCCTCCCTGAATGTGTGATGCTCCCACAGAGCCTCTGGATTCCAGAATCCTCTCCATAGTACCCTTAATATTTATTTATTTATTTATTTATTTTATTTTATTTTTCGATTTATATCCTGCCTCTTTCCTACAAAGGGCTCAAGGCAGCTTACATCAGTCTCCTCCTCCATCTTATCCCCACAACAACAACCCTGTGAGGTAGGTTGGGCTGAGAGTCTGTGACTGGCCCAAAGTCACCCAGTTGGCTCCATGGCTGAGCAGGGACTAGAACCCAGATCATCTGAGTCCCAGTCCCATGCTCTTAGCCACTACACCACACTGGCTCTCAATATAGGTTGACATTCTTTGTGCTAGCTGAACTCTCTGTCTGTAGCATTCTGTTCAGTGAAAATTATGCAGATCATGGACAACCTTTTCTCTTCCTCTCTAAGAGAAATCTTACAAGAGATTCATAGGTTGCGACTTGAACATGAACAAGCATCTCAGCCCACCCCTGAGAAGGCAGCACAGAATCCTACTCTCCTGGCAGAACTTCGGCTCCTGAGGTAAGTATCTGCATATAATGTTTAGCTATTGAATTTCCCAAGACTTTTGACAGTTACACATCTTGCTTATGTTCCAGTTAGAGAGCAATGCTATGACCCCTGGACATTGACTGGGGGCTAAAGTTGGGATGAAGCCTTCTGGAATGCATCCCTCCAGCATCCCAAAGCATCCTGCAAAGCGAGCCAAGCCAAGACGAAGTCCAGGAACAATCATGGCCCCCCAGCTGCACAACCAGCAGCCTTTCCCACCGGGCACAGCTGCCAAAGGATCAGCTGCAGGAGAAAGAAGAGGGCCACAGTTGCACCAGGCAACCTCAAGCAACCAACCTTCTTCTCCATCCAGTGCAGGAAGCAGCAGCTTGCAAGCACTGGTTTTTATTATGTTATTTTATTATTTTGCATATTTTATTGCAATTTAGTTATTGAAAAATAAGTAAAATAAAAAACCCTGCCAAAATGTATGTTTCTTCTACAGGCCAAAGTGTAAAAATATGCATTTTTCAGGGATCTGAATATTTTGAAGGGATTAATGCATTTTCAGGAGTGCAAAGTTGTATAGCTATAGATTTGCACAAAGTCAAATTCTTTTGATGAACAGATGATGGAACAAAAGGCAGCTGGCAATCCACAAAACAGGGACAAAATGGATTTTACATCCCTAGATTGGGCCTCAAAGCTCATATAATCATATAAGTCTTCGCTTAAAGAGCCCTATCAAAGGAGTATCTGCCACCTTCTAATGCAGTCTGTTCCAATGTCAAACAGCTTGTACCATCAGGAAGAACTTGCTAATATTTAGTTCTTCCCAATATTTATATACTTATATGGCCATTTCCTGCTTCCATCGGGCATTAATAGATATGGATTGGTTAATACCAGATTTTCCCAACCTAGCACCACTCGTCACCACAATCCAACATTTTTGGATTGAAGGTTCCGTCAACCCCAGCCACCATGACTGATGGTGGAATTCTGGAGATTGTGGATGCCAAGTTGGAGAAGACTGGTCTATGCTATTAATAGGTGCTAGCTGTGAGATGACAAAGGATAAAAATCCAAATAATAATTAAATAAATAAATACGGGTGGAAAAAAGATAAAATGTATTCTACTGAAGTACTCAGTTACTGTTTCTTTGACCCATAACTTCTGAAATCATTGGGGAGTGTGAGACTCGGGCACCAGTGCACCATACTGAAGAAACAAACAGAAATCAGAGCGAAGATTATCATTTTCTCTTTAGAACAGTGTATTTACAAATCGTCTTAGCCTAGAAAGTTCTATGGCACCCCATCTTCATATACAGAATTTATTTCAGGAATCTGAAGCCTCTTTCTAGTTTCTAGTAGAACAGGGACAGGGTGGGGGCAGAATAAAGCAAGCCCTAACCTCTCCCCAGTCTCTGAAAGCAGGATACCTCATTGCATGTAGGCTGTCTCCCACACGTAGAGTTCATGCAAGCAATTCTGCCTACAAGTATTGAAATGAGCACATTAGGAGAAGACTGTTTCCACTGTGATGCTGTCCCTGCCTCCCCTCCCAACCCCGCCCCACCAAGAAGTTTTCCTTCTACATGAATGAATAGGACTAAAATAAACCACAGAGGGAGGAAAGAAATCTCCCTACTTATACTCCATAATATCTCTGCTGATTCTCTCCCATCATGCAAGGCACAATTCTGTGAGAAAGAATAATATTTAAGTTCATGGCAAGGTAAGAAAAATGCTAGGACCAGGTCTCTATAATTTCACCTGTGGTATAAGTCTTTTTGTTTGTATAATACATTCTGACCATGGAATCCAGAGTTTCTACATGCAGCACTCAGACTCTAATGATGCAGACTTCCAGCAAGCCCCTATGGCATTTGCACACACAGGGCAGAAGAGACAGGCAAAGTAAGAGCAACCACTTTTTTTTGGTGGAACCAGTTGTTGCTGTTTGTACCCTGCCTATTTCCTATACTGGGACTTGAGGCAGTTGATGCCAAGGGCCAAAAGATATTGGATCATGGACTGCAGCCTCTTCAGCACTCCAGCCATAAAGGCTTTCCTGTGGCTTGTAGTATTAAAAGCCAAAGTGCTTAAAAGAAACAGATGTGAGCAGCTGGGCTCCAAATCAGTTAATTTTAAAGTTACTCCTGCAGAAACAGATTATTTATAGATTATTCTTTTTTGAAGTGTGTGTGCATTTTTAAACATTCTAGGATATTGTGAGCTACACACCTAATTAATTACTTGGGATCTCAATGCACATATATCATGTTGTGGTTGCTTTTTTCATTCTTGTTTTGCCAGTGGAGCTGTCTAGCAGTTGGAAATAGAACCATCTAGACATAATATGCAGCATAAGTACAACAGAACTTGAAAATGATTATAATCAAACTGTTATTGCCCACACCTCTTTTGGAGATGATGCCTGAAATGGATTATAATCTTGCTTGGATGGCTGCTTTAATTTTCAGGCTATTATTATTTTACTTTTTTTTAATGCCCACTGATTATCTGTGGCTGGCATTTCTGCTTGACTTATTGGGTGTTCCTTGAGTTGTTGGGTGGGGGTGTTCCTTAATTTTCTTCACAGATTTAAAAAGATAATACATTAGTTTAGATTTATTGGCACTGAATATCCATAGGGAGCTTTGTCAGTTGAGATCTTTCCTCTGTTTTAATTTGCATTGCCAGAAAAAGCAGTATCTGTCTGGCTTTGTGTGTGTTTGGAATAATAATCACCAATTAACTGTTAAAGGGAATATTTTGATTTCTTGCAGAACATTTGCAAAATAGAAAACCCAAAAGCAAAAATGAATATTAAGGTTCTCTTTAGCATACATACAAACTCTAGTGCAACAGTAAAAGAAGATTTGAACTACTATGTTAATGAACAAAATAACATTCTGTAAATTGCTATGTGAGGAAAGAATGAATTCTATCCAGGCTTTCCAAAAGTGTTGGTTGCCAGTTTTCAGTTATGGTATAGGTTTCACTTGATTATGGTATAGGTTTCAATCAAGTGATCTTTCAGTTATAGCTATATACTATATGTGTGTTAAGTATTGTAACTGTTCTGTGTTATTGTACTAGAATACAAAATAAAATGTTTATTGCCCTAATTACAGTTTAACTGGGACAATATTCCTACATGAAAAAAAATGTTTCCATCACGTGCAAGCTGTGTGTAGATTATTGTGTGTATTGCTTGCAAATGCAGGTTTTTGATGGCATGTTTATGCCCTGGTAGGTTGTGGAATGCTCAGATAGATGCTCTGATTTTAAATGCTTATTTCTTAGACAGAGGAAGGATGAGTTGGAACAAAGGATGTCTGCTCTTCAGGAAAGCCGGAGAGAACTCATGGTTCAATTGGAAGGCCTCATGAAACTGCTCAAGGTAAAATATACCATTCCTACTAAGCAAAAAAAGAAATTATGTGCAGTGGTACAGTACAAAAAGTAAAACAGAGAAAGAGGTGGCAGCAATTTCCAGCTAGTATATTTCATCCAATAAGCATTTGTTAGGGAAAGATCTCCTCATTTCCTTCAGACATCAGTTGCTTCTATTCCCTGGATAAATCCCACATAGTTTTGCTACTCTTACCATTGTTGCATCCTATAGTTTCACTATTCATTCCACAAAAGCAGTGATAATCGAGTCCAAATGTCCTTTTCTCTAAATAATGAATAACTTCTTTATTCCTTTCAGGTACCATGAAGTGGTATTGTCATTAGAGCAACCATTTGTCATACTCCATTTTATAATGTCTAAAACTCCTTAAACTTGATAATAGAAAGAAGAGGGCAGTGAGGGGCAGGGTTGGGGCGGGGGGGGGGGGCGGTTATCAGCTATTTGGAATGGTGCTAATGTAAATTCAGCCCTGGCACAAACCTGGCATAGTCTCATTTCACTTAAAAGAGAAGCCCCTATAGAGGAAAAATTCCTTTCCTGATAACTATTTCCATTTGACAAGGTGCCTTCTTTCATGTAAACTCTGTATAGAATTGTAGCAGTGCACAGAAAAATGACTAGTGAATCAATTTTGTTGTTCTTGAATCCTCTATTCATAGTATCATCGAACATGAGGATATTAAGAATATTGAGGCATACTTCGTTTTTGTAAGCTGAATCTGGGAACACTGTTTAACTTGAAGGTGTGATGCTATACAAGCCACTCCTGTTTTTCAGTGTGTATAGTAGCATAAGAGTGGAAGAGCCCTGTTTCCAAAACAGTGCTCCAAAAGTGGCCAGCCTGGTGTCTCTAGAACTGGGCTGGACATGTTGTAGCCCTTAGCCTAATTTATGAAACTGTCTACAAGCAAAGTATTTTGCCTTCTTGCATTTGCAGTCTATCCCTTCCATTGCAGCTGTAAGTGTGGGGAGGATGGAGGGGAAAGAGAGGAGGAGAGGCAGAAAGAGAAAGAAAAAAGGTGTTGCCACCCATTTTCTGGCTCTGGCCCATCCAGTCCATGGCCCCTAATAGGGACTGGATAGTGTCCCTTTCCAGAAAAAAGTGGTATTCACTTTGCTGAAAAATTTTGCAAAGATGACGTAAACACAACAGCTTTTCCCCATTGTCCCTTCAGTCAGCTAGCCAGCCAGAAATTGGTGTTCAAGTGTGCTAATTTCAAGGGATTCATTTTGCAGAGTGTAGTTGACAGCAGAATCCGGGTTGATGCCTGCTCTAAATCTTCAGTTTTCCTCTATTTACACTTTAAATGCCAATTCATCTAATTCACAATGGTCCAATCTTTCTTTAGGAAGAAGAATTGAAGCAGGGAGTAAGTTATTTACCCTGTAGTTGTCACACTAACTCTTTAGGAGTGCTCCTGTTTTCCAAGTGTGTGCTATACTACATCTGCTTGAAATGTGTGTACCTGCACGCCTTAAACCTTTTATCTGAGCACTTGAAGTACTTCATCCAGTCAGCTAATTAAGAGTTCTGGTTTTCTTAAGCACTCAGCATAAATGTAAAGGATCTCCATGGCTCATGACTGATATATAGGCATCTTGGGTACAAAGAGTAATCACTTTTTAACACATGCAACACAAACTAGAGAAGTGTCTAAACAAGGCCAGTAGTCTGAAAGTGCTTAAATAGTTCAGGTTGGTGAAAAATGCACTGAGCTGAGCTTAAAAGATTTCCAAGTGCTCTGACCTTGAAACTCCCTCACTCTGTTGTTCTCAAGCAGCCGCAAAGTTATTTTAACATCAGTTTTCAAGGATATGTCTAGGTTAACAATTCAGAATGTTTTTAAGATGCACAATCTTTTTGTAATGAAAGATGCAAAGTCTAAAATTGCATTTGCATGTCCATTTTTAAAAGCCTTAAGGATACAATCCACTGGGTTGTGCCTTCGATGCCTGCAAGCCCCTGAACCCAGAGGCTAATGAGCATCCTATGCATGGCAGGAGGAGCAGAAGGTGTAATCTTCCCTTCCCTGCACTTCCTCATCTGCATTCTTGCTAGACCCTCATTTTTGGTGTTGTAGCTGGGGCATATCAGAGGGGGTGGGAAGGAGGCTGCAGGAATCTGTTTCCTGATCTTGGTAGCCTTCTCTGCACTGGAACACCCCCCTTACCTTTGTCCAGTGTTGTGTTCCCAAGGGGGTGGTTGTGAGAGGGGAGAAGGGAGATCAGAGCACAGATTCTCAGCTCCAAGGTCAAACAGTGCAGCCAGCCTCAGAGCTAGGGATCCATATTATGCCATGGTTGTGCAAATACTGTCTAGGGGCTGTAGGATCACTCTCTCTGTCATGCTGAAGTCAGTAGCATAATGCAGCTTTAATTAGTAAAGTGAGGCATTACCACATGCTCTAGACATGCTGTGAGAGATTTCACACTGTAAGAAATCAAGCACATTCAAGTGAATAATATTTTATATAAAAATGCTGTGCTAGATTTTCACATTCTGACATTTTCAAAGGGAAAAGCGAGATTTGAGGGATATGAAAAGCTCCTCATCTTCCCCATATTCATAGTTATGGGTGAGGAATTGTGCCTGCTCACAGCCCTAACTTTTTTCTGCTTCCTCACCATTTTGTTATGTTAGTTATGAAGTCATGCCTGACCCATCATGACCCCATGGACAACATTCCTCCAGGCTCTCCTGTCCTTCTCCATTTTAGGAACTTAAGAAATTACCTAAACAGACCATTGGCCCCATATTGTCAAAACTAACTGACAGTGGCAAAATATAAGATAGCGTCTTTCTTTTTAAGGGCTTCTGCATAATTCTAGCCAATCAGAAGTCATATCATAATAATGGTGTCATCACCGCCATATAAACAAGTTTGTCTAGTACAGATGATTGAGGACAAAGCCCTATTTCATTTTTATTTCTATTTTTAAAAATGTATACCATCTTTCCATTCAAAACAAGTCTAAGGTAATGAATATCAGTTACATTTTCCTCACTCTGAATTAGGGTAAAAGAGTGACTATATCCTTGTTCCAGAAGGAGCAACTTCAACATATACTGCTTTGTGACACAACACAGCAAAACATTTACCCAAGTCCAGAAGCTCTGGACACATATTCATACATGTGACCACTAGGGTTGATCCAGTGAGGTCATCCATAATCCTCTGGACACAGGATTATGGGTATCCTGTGGTGAGCAGAAAGAACACAGAGGTGAAGGACATCACCCTTTTTCTCCTGCTTTGCAAAGCAGCTGGATGGCTGACTTCAGCTGTTTAACTGTTGCTTTGGAAGGGGTGGGGAGGAGGCTGGGGCACTGCCAGGATCTGTTGTATCTTGGCTGTGCTGGTCTCTTCTTCTCCCCAACCCTCTGGAATGCCTCCAAGCCCCTTCTCCAAAGTCACCCTTCCAGCCTCAGGAGACAGCCATGCTGTTCTTTCCATACCAAGGGGAGATTGGGATCAGAGCACGGAGATCCAGCTCCAGGGTCTAAGCTCTTTTCCAGAGTTAGAGCTTGGCATCTACATGATCTGATGGCACTTTAGATTGCAGTCTAGGAACCACAGGATGATTCTGTTCATGGAGTGATATGCAGTACAGATGAGTGGTATCCATGCTTGCAGCTGCATACAAATGCCAGTGCTGTCTCTCCATTTTTGCAAGATGCATATTCAGTTGCACATCCCCACCCACATGCTGCCACAAGTACTCAGTTACACTTGATTTTAGGATCATTGGCATAGATGCATTCATTCTTGCCCCCTTTTTGGAAAAGGATATACCTTTTAAAAAGAGGAAGTGCATAATATTTTAACAGTTGAAGTACTTCTTGTGGGGTGAAAGGATGTGTGAAAAAAATATTCCCTGCTTGGCAGTATTGTAGAAAGCACAAGGTTTTTACCAACATATCAGAGATACTTTGTGGTTAGTGAACTAGGCAATTGTCCATCCCCTAATTTTTTTTTTAATTTCTGCTGGCTAAGAAAAAGCTCTCTTTCAGAAACAGGAAGGTGATATTCTGTATAGAATATACGTAACTAGCCAATAGTTCTTTGTGAGTTGTGCTAGGTTCCAGCAGAGGGAGCCACACACCAAAAACCAGCTAACCAGATTTTATTTCAAGCCTTCCTGGGTGGGGATGAGAACACTTTTGCTGGGGAAATCAAGCTTTGTTCTTATGAAATTTCATAAAGAAGAAATCAAGAAGGTATAATTTCCATTAAAATACCTGCATGATGTCTGCAACAAGAAAGGAATTGGTCTGTTTCTGAGTATAACCTCAATATAAACCTAACTAAAACTACTCTGCCAAATGAACATTTGTTGTTTTAGACCTTGAAATGGCAAATAAATCCTTGGAGCATTAAGGAACCAAATCTTCTCCCCAAAATTGCTGTTAACTAGCCCTATTTGTGTTTATCTTGGCCTTAGAATTCTAGCTATTGTATACTGTGGGACTGCCACTCTAAAAACAAAATGGAGTTCTACCACTACAGGTATTTACGTTGGAAGTATGGCTGCCAGTAGTGGAAACAGCAATAATGAAGTGGATACAGGACTGGCTGCTGTTCCAAACCTTCACCAGACATATCGGAAAGTACCTTGGACAGGATAGGAGAGGGTTTTGCCTTCCTCCCTCAGAGATCTTGAGATGCTCAAGGCAGGGTCATGGAAGTCTCTAGTTGGTATCACAAATCCTATTAAGGTGAGTTGTTGATATTTTCCCAGCAGAATGGATTTGGAGACTTCCATTCTAGGGTGCAAGGAAGCCCTCAGATCCAGTGAAGGGAAAGTAAAAAGCCATCTCTGAGTAGAATTGGCAACCTGAAATGCAAAGGTGTGAGTGGAACTAGCACAAACATTGCATCTGAAGATCTATTGAGTGACCATCTGTTTAAATTACCTTTCCATTACTGGATCAGTGTGAAAAAAGCTTCAGAGTTTCAGTGGAGCAGATGAGAAAACATTCCACTCTCAACCATGACTCAGAAGAGTAGATTATGAAGTTTTCCCATCTTTACTGCCAAGCAACAGAGGAGAAGGAATCAGGGGACAAATATTATTTTCTCCAACTCAGCTGCTGCTGTTTTTACTTAGAGATTTACTGATCACTTTTGCAGTAGGCACTGTTCCAGATTTAGCAAAATCCAAGCAGCCCTGCCCTCCAATTCCTTTCCTCAAACTTTCTCTGGGCTCCATTTCCTGTTCCAGAGTGGCCTGCCCACCTAAGTACCAGGATGTTTTATCTCAAAAGTGGCAAGTCTAGTAAATAGTGAGCAGGCCCATTTTGAATTGCCCTTTTCTGATAAACCAGACTAGCCACAGTTAACCCACACATTTCCAGGGTTCTCAATAATTTTTGCTCCTATAGCTGAGGAAAAGTATCTTAAGACAAACAGGTGCAGAGGAAAAACTTTGAGGAATGGACTTCTCAGGCTATGTATTTTGCCAATGAAACCCCTATTTGCAAATCTGCAGTAGTCCCTATTAAATGGCAAAGATGTTTTAGTTATAGACTCCTAGCTGTGTAGTCACTGGATGCTGTATATTATGCTAGAGCCGGCTTGCAAAATGGGTAATCTCCCTTCCACCCCATTAACTATATATGGCAACCTAGTGTGGGTCAGTAAAACTATTGCTGCTAGTTATCTCAAACTGCAGAAACTGGAATACCTGATTGAGAATGTACAACAGTGAAAGTGTATGATCTTTGCATGTTCTGTGGATTTTTTTGCTCACTTCCACCTACTAACTACATGATACTTAGTTAAGTGAAATATGTTAGCCTTCCTTCTTGGTGCCTTCATATCAGGTTAAGTGACTGAACAATAAAATCATAGCACTAGGAGCAGAAATGATGACAGATAAAAGCAATCTTAAAATCAAAATTGTATCTGCTTGCAAGGAAACAGTCTGACAAAACAGAAACATCTTCAATAGCTGGTGGAAAGCAGCAAGAGTTGGAGCCAGCTAAACTTTATGGGATGAGCTATTCCACAACTTGGGTGCTGCTGCAAAGAAGGCACTCTCACTTATCACCACCAACTGTGCTTCTGCCATAGGTAGGATACAAAGAAGGGTCCCTTCACTAGATCTTCAGCATTGGGAAGGCTGGTATGGGAGGGGAGGTACCTTTAGGCTTCTTAGACCCAAGACATTTTGGTTTCCAATGCTTTGGAATCAATTTGACACCCAGTGCACGCATTGCAGAATACATTTAATATCCCATTGCAAGTGCTTGCTAACGTCCTTAGCACATTCTTGACCAGCTGATGCTTCCAGAGTTGACCTTTGTGTAGAGTGCACTGTAGTAATCCAGTCATGATGTAATTAAGTTTGGCTTCCTCAGGAATGCAAAGCAGGTTGCATACTAGCCTAGATTGGGGAAAGGCATTCCTGGCCATTGCCACCACCGAAGCATCTAGATGTAAAGAAGAATTTAACAGCATCCCTGAATTTCAAACCTGATTCTTAATAAAGACTAAGTTTCAATTCCAGAAGCTGTCTCTTTGTCTGGAATAGGATTCAGTGTATTAACCCTACTCCAGCCCACTGTTGTTTTCATACTGTAATTCAAACATCAGCAGCTTCCTTGATATTAGCTAAAAAAGAGAAATACGGGTATATGTAATCAGCATATTGAAATCCCAAGCCAATCTATTGTGACTGATGTTAAAACATTTCAATATGGTTCAAAGAGCATCCTTAAGTTCATGTGAAAGTTTGCATGAAGTTCATTTCCCCATCACCACAATACTTATTTGTCTGCATTTTAGGCCCAAACTGCACATTACCTTGAACACTTGACTGATGTGGGACACATCTGCATTCTGCATCTCTGCCCCACATTTCCCAGCAGTATTTCAGAACATGTGATCTGTTGCCTTCATCTCACTGAGCAATGATCTTATGCATTGCCAGCTGCAGGCTTTTTGAGGTCCTTTCAGCAAGACTCCTTCAGTGGGATCCCTCGCTCAGCAAGTCTGCCTTCTCATTTTCATAGTCAGCAGCTGCTATTGCTTCTCATACTTCTTCCCATCACTGCTGCTTGCTTGCTCATTCGCTCGATTGACAGGGAACCAATCAGCAAGTAGTCAGTTGCATTTATTGCTTCTTAGCATCACTGTTGTCTAGTCAGAGGCTAGGAAAGAAGCAGGTTGCAATGGGGAAGAAGAGCAACTCCAATGACCCCACTGCTTGCCTGTGAGCCTTCAACAGGTGCCCAACTATACCTACTGCTGATACTGGCTTAGGCATTATCCCAGCTGATACAGGCAAGAGCCAGTGAAATGGACCCTTAACAGAGACGCGCTGAGTATGAAGCTGATGTGGAAAACTTTAATGATACATTCAGAGAAAACCAAGATTGAAGAATTAAAGTATAGGAAAATGTCCCATGAGGGAAAGTTGAAGGATCTGGTTATTAACCTAAAGAAAAGAAGGGTAAAGAGGCAAGGGGTTAATAGTACTTTTCAAACCCCTGAAGGCTGTCCCACAGAGGAGAGCAAGTGCATGTTCTTTGCTGCCACAGAGGGGCTTAAGTTACAGAAGGGTACATTTTAGTTGAATATTAGGAGAAATGTATTAGTAGTAAAAGCATTTTTAGAATGCAACCCATTACTCGGTAGTAGGGGAAGGGAGGACTCTGCCTCACTGGAGGTCTTTGCTAGAAGCTGGACATGCATCTCTTGAAGTTGCTTTTGCTCTGTATTTCCTGCATCAGGCAGAGGGTTGGACTAGATGACTTTCTATGGTTACATTTATATCTCCCATTTTTCCTCTTGCAAGAAACCCAAGGAGGGTTTACAGTCCTTTCCATTTTATCCTCACAACAACCCTTTGAGGTAGGGTTAGCTAATAGTGTGTGACTGGACGCAAGTCACTCCGTGGGCTTTGTGGCCAGGTGACGACAAACCGAGAGCACCTTGAATCATTGTCCAAAATGTCGTCATTATGCTGATATGCTCCAGGGCTGAACTCTATGATTCTGTGTCATACCTGCTTCATCTTTAACCAAGCGACATTGAGAAGACACGTGGAATGGTGTCACACAAGCATAAAGTATTTTTTTAGCTGAGGCTAGAGAGTGGGTTTGAGAGTTCCCTAGATTTCAGAGGTAACCTGTGTGGCCTGCTGGGGCTGCTTTGAGAAAGTTGGATCTTGCAGCACAATGTCAGCCCCTTGTTCCCTCCCTCCCTCCCTCTTTATAGGCTCCTTTCCAGACATCTTAATACAAGGCGATTCACCTTTGCATTTCACAGAGCCAAGAAGAGCCAATGTATTTCTGTGTACACTGCTCAACTTTCATGTTTTGGAGAAGAAAAAAAAACCCAGTATATCTGTTTAAACCTCGGAATTTTGGGCTGTTTCAGCTACCCTCTCTCCCTGTGTAATTCATCCCTATTATTAGTGTGTGCTTGTGGCCCTAGAAATAAACAAGGAAGCTGATGTAGTTGCTTTCCATTAGGAGGATCCTGCTGTTCTGCACAACATGGGCATTTTCTGACAACTTGCACAACAGAGATATAACTGGAGATGGCAGTGCCTGAGTGGCTGGCCTTGTAAGTCACCCTTAACCACTCATGCCCTTTTTTCCAGACACAAGGGGCAGGCTCCCCTCGCTCATCTCCCAGTCACACGATCAGTCGGCCTATTCCTATGCCCATGCGATCTTCATCCGCCTGCTCGACTCCGGCCCACACACCTCAGGACTCTCTGACAGGTGTGGGAGGAGATGTGCAGGAAGCTTTTGCACAAGGTAAGTTATACAAACCATCCTGTTATCATGACATCATATTCCAGAGTTAGTCAGTAAATGCCCGATCAATGTAGCTCAGAATTGTGAGGTGGGATTGCTCAGCAGTTCCACAGCTGCTTCCCTCACCATACAAGTCTCTGTGTGCGTGTGCTTGCCATGTTATCTGCAAAGCGGCATTTGTCATTTAACAAAGTGATGAAAAGATTGTATTGAAGGCAAGAAGAATAACGAGTGGATGCTTGATGGAATGAAACAAATCTGAAAAATTATAATTGAGCCTTATTGCTCTGTAAGGAAAAACATAAGGGAAAGAGTTGATCTAAACATACTTTAACAAGTCAAGCTTTCTAAATGATCTGCAACAGACACAACATTCTTTATTAAACAAGTGTACAGAAAGAGCCATTGTATTCCTTGACCATTGCAATTACACTTCTTCATAATGTTCTGTTCTGAGCTATGTTTGTATGGTGATTCTTTCTCATGCCAACTGCTTGGCAGCTCAGAGTCCCAATAGCAAAGTAGTTCTTTAGTTAGGATCATTTGTTTCCCTGTACAATCTCTGTGCTGTCATCCACAAGTACTAGAAATTTCTCATGAGCTAGTTCCACTTGGATTGGTAAAAATGGGCTATGGCAGGAATTTTCTCCTATTTCCCATGAACTAGATACAGTTCATTCATTTTATATTTCCCTACAGCTGAGTCTTATCATCCATTCTTCTTCAGTTCCTCCTCCACAGTGTGTTCTTGGCTGCTCTATATTGTTCTAACCCACATGCATATTATTATTCTGGGTTAGTGGTACCCTCACTAAGGTTGAAATCTTACTGTTGCTGGGAGGGTTCTCCAGGGGCCAAAAGACACTGCAGACCTCCCTTTCCACCCATTTGCAAGTGGGCAAAGAGGTTCCTCACCAGAGGCCTCCCTTGTAGCAAAAGGGACTCTGCTGCCATCATTCCGCCAGTTTCAATGCTCTGGCAGTAGAGGGAACAGGCCTCAAATCCACTGGATCCAGAGCACTCCTTTTCCTCCCACACACACACCCTGATAAAGGTGAAAGCGCACTCAGCCTTGCAATTGGTATACTTCATTCCTCTCCCATGGGAGAGATTTTCTAAGAATAGGAATGGAGGCAGAACAGCAGTCCCAGCACCTTCTGCTCTGGTTAGTGAAATTCCCAGAACCCTACACTAAGAATTGTTCTGCCCTCCACAGCTTCTGCTTTCTGCTCTCTGCTCTCCAGCACAGCACAGCACTGAACTGTGGTTGCTGTGCAACACAGAAAAGCAGAAAGTAATCCATATAATAGCTACATTTAGGATTACTAAATGATCTCAGATGCATTTTTTAATTTGCCCTACTCCAATTTAATTACATCCTAGGGTCTTAATCTTGCATAGAGTAAGAAAAGCTCTAAACTTCACTGAAAATATTTAGTGCTTTGCTTCTCTTCTTTCTCAGGTACAAGAAGAAATTTAAGAAATGACCTGCTGGTAGCAGCAGATTCAATCACCAACACTATGTCTTCTCTGGTGAAAGAGCTAAACTCAGGTCTGATTGTTTACAGCACAATTAGGTTATAGTGATTCTAAAATAAAATAAAATAGCTGCAGCCTAAGAAAGGCACATCTGTATGGATGTTCCATAGAATAGTTTAAAAAAAGTTTCCTAGAACAGCCTTCCAGTGCAGAAGATCTGCCCCTGATTCCCTCCTTTAAGTGCCTTCTGTATTGTTATGCCATTACAAAAGAAGGCTTTCTCTGTGGTGGCCACCAAGCTTTAGGATGCCCTCCATAAGGAGGAATACATTACCTATTGAGGGCCCAGGGTAATGGAATGCAGCAAGAAATCATTCACCTCTTACAGTGTTCTGGGAACTCCTCTTTCCCCTTGTTTAATAGATAGTCCTTAGCAGGTGTCCCACACAAAGCAACAGCAACGAAAATCCTCCCTACATGAAATAAGACTGTATGACTTAGTGCTGCACAGGTAATACAATAAGCTGTTATGAAAAAGATCCAATGTCATGTGGGAGTTTGGGTAAAAATATTAAGGAGTCAGCCACTACTTCAGCTGTAGCTAGCTCACTTGATCTTCAGTCTGTGTCTGGGGAACTGTATAGCATAACCCCTGTGTAGCTTTGGGATTTCAGGTACACTAAAGTGGTCACACCTGGCATTCAACAATTGTTTGTTTGCAAAAGCCTACTAAATGGTAACTGGACAATTCAGGAGTGGAATAGTTAACTCTGTAGTTAAAACTGTGTATGAACAGGTTTATTTTTAGCAATGTGAGCAACTGTACTAGAAACAGGAGAAAATCATGCTAGTACTCATGCAACCATAGTACCATCATCACCTTTCTTCCCACAGAAGTTGGAAGTGAAACAGAGAGCAATGTGGATTCTGAATTTGGTCGAACTCATTTCGATGACCTTGTTCCATCACCAACTTCTGAAAAGGCTTTCCTTGCGCAGATCCATGCCCGGAAGCCAGGATACCTGCACAGTTCAGCTGCCACTGGGACCATGCGTAGTGATATGTGGGTACTCCCCCACACCGTCCTGCTCTCTCTCATTCTTTTTTTCTTTCTTGCTACATATTATATATTCCCTTTTGCCTTCAGTAAGACAAGCTAAGCAGTCGTGGTATGTACACGTAATATCAAATTGCTCTCTTAACCAAAGGTTCCCCCAAAAGGAGCACTAAGGGTTATTTTCAAATCCAATTTAAAAGATCTCACAGTGTTTTGTAAGATGAACTTGCAGTAATTATAGCTTGGAAATTCTGCATTGATGCCTTTTAAAAGTATTTATGGAAAATAAGTGAAAATGGAGTTTGCTTTCAGGGCAGAGCCCTTTTAGAGTAAGATGGATTTAGCAGCAGCAGCTTGCCATAACCAGAGGAAAAAGATTATGTCCAACAGATGCATTCTTATATCCTTCTGAAGAGAAAAAGATGGGCTGTTTTCTGCTGAAGATCAGGACACTGTTGTGATGTTAGGTGTGCATCTAAAGTTTGATCAGTAACTGGAATAGTGTCCAAAGCCTTTGTCAGGATCCAAAGAACCTCACATCATTCTAGTCCTATGTGTCAAAGGACACTTTGGGCTTATTGGTAGACATTTAAAAGATTCAGGGCAAGAATCTTTTAAAAGAACACAAAACAAAAAGTACTTAAAATCTGCATATGAATTTGATGTAGAATATCAGTACAAATGTGATTATAAAATTATCATATCTATATGTATAAATTTAGGAATCACTGCTGCATTTATTTAAACTTCACAGGAGGCAAAACCAGCCAATTAATTTCTCATCCAAATTATAGTAAATAAATAATTATTCAAATAATTTGCATCCTAAGCCAGATGTTTCAAACCATTTGAAAGCATGCTTTTCTGTGCTTAACTGCCATAGAAGGGAATATGTTGTAGGACCAGCCCAGGCATTGCTGCATGTAGCAAGGGGAGAGGTGACCCTTCCCTCTCCGGCTGCAGTCTCCCTTTAAAGGGGACACCATGCATGGCATTTAAGTGGAGGGGGGAAAGCTATCTGTTGGCACCAATGGACATGCAGGACTCTGTGGAACAGAACTGGACCGATGAGAAATGGATGTGGGGCTGGGACACCATGGGCCCAGGTAATAGCTCTGACTTTTTGTTTCTCAATAACCATTCACTCTCCTCTGCACACCACACAACAAAACTGCTTTTGAAACTTTCAGAGGTAGTTTATCGTGGCACACTGTGGTGGTTTGTTGTTCAGTGTAAAAAAATTGCCCCAGCTATGGCCAGGTTGTTGGACATGCCTAAAACAGCTCTTTGGATCCTGATTTTTATATGGCAATATTAGTGCCCCAAAGGCTCAAGGGATGGCTCAGTTGATTTATTCCTTTAATCCCTACAGTCCAGTGTTTCACCATCTGCTAACATCTACTGGCACATACTGCAGACAGCAACCAATTCAAGCAGCATGGTTACACTGCTAACTTTCTGCCTCCACTGAGTGTGTTTTAGGTAAACTAGTATTTGCCTTTGCTCAATACAGTGCCTGTGTTTTCAGCTGAGTATTCCAAAGCCAAAACAACAAGCAAGGACATAGTGCTGAATTGACACTGAGGGCTTATCTATATATTCGGCTAAGAGAACAATCCTGTGGTTCCCGGATAGTATCCCAGATACCCCAGGATTTTTGAATTCCTCTTTCCCAAACTGTAAAAACTGCTACAGCATCACAACTGGCACTCTAAGACCCAAGTCCCTCCTTGTAGCCACTGCAGAAACAACCATGCCAGCTGCTTTCTGAGGTCTGCAGCCTTGAAGGACCTCATAAGGGACAAGAAGGCATTCTAGTGGATGGGACAGGGAGACAAGAAACCATATCTTCAACCCCAGAAACCCTGCTGCCAGCATAGCTCTTCTAGACATGCTTAGAAACCCATCTAATGGAGAAAACAAGGAACAGAGAGTGGTTACCTCTTGCTTCTCCTGCTCTGCTAGGGCAAAGGGTTTTAACTAGCCTCAGAGTTCAGAGGTTTTCATCAAGTGGGGCCACAGTCTAGAGGACTGCACCCATAATTGCTTCTTCCTTCCTGGATGTTACATTTTCAATCTTCCTATGATTAAAAAAAATCTTCCTACTAGTAGAAATATAGCATATCAGGAAAAGGATAGGCAAGAACCTGTCTTCACAATGGGCTAGTACATGCAGGGAATTCTTTTTTTTTTTTTTTTTTTGGGGGGGGGGGGGCGTTGTTTGTCATCATTTATGAATACAAACCCAGCTTACAGTCTGATATGGTGATGTTGAGGGAGAACTCTTCCATTAGGTATCACTAACTAGGTACTTAGGCTTTGATAGCTGGTAATTATCTCAAAAAATACTGCAAGTGAGAATTTCCTCTCCATGTGAGTAATCAAAGCCATTTGAAAGATGGCGTATATGAGGGAAGGTACAAATAAATAAACTCTTGGTTTTGAAGGAATGTATGTGTAGTTAAAAGAAAAAGCACAAATCAGTCTTCATGTTTCAAAATTCATGAGGATAGCATAAGCAGCTTAGAGAATTTTAGCATTTGTTTTTATTTTAGGAAGCTATTTATTAATGATTGCCTTTAGGGTAACAGAAGATGGAGACCCTTACGTTAGAGCAGATGATGAGAATTATGAAAATGATTCTGTCCGCCAGCTAGAGAATGAGCTCAAGATGGAGGAGTATTTGAAACAAAAGCTGAAGGACGAAGCTTATCAGGTAAAAATGAAATAAGATTTCCACAAAATCATCTAGGTTAAATTAGAACCAAGGCATTACCATGTGCTAGATTTTATTTCTGGTGGCTCAGAACTGTATTCTTTATATAGTGAAGAGGCTTCAGATTCCAAATAATTCAGAAATGCACTCATCATTTTTGTCTCTGAGTAATCAGGAAGTACTTTGTGTACTGAAAAGATTAAGTCTGACATTAACTTTCACAAGCTGTTAGCTGATGCATCACAAATGTGAGTAACATTCTGTCAACAAGGTGCCTTGTCAACATTGTCACTGAATTACAATATGAATAGGGATTGGCTCACACTTGAATGTTTGTCACTACAAAAATAAAGTAATGATTTGGATGTGGGAATGATTTCACCTTCAAAGGTGCAACTTTCTTATGGCCTGATATCATCTCAATGGAGCAAAGTGTATTTCAAAAGCCAAGTGAATCAAAATCAAAAACAAAATCAAAAATACAATCAAAAACACAAAACCAAAGATACTCAATCCAGTCCTATGGCCACCTAGATGGTTAGTTGGAATCCTTTGCTCAATAAACATAACCCTAACTGTGACAATGGTATAAATGTGCATGAAAGACACCAGTCACTGTGTGACGATGGCACAAATTTCTCAGTAGCATCTACCAAGCCACACCTGAAGGTTCTGCTAGGAAGTGCCCACAGTGCTTTCAGGAGTCCAGAGATTAGCAACCATGCCTGCCCTAAATCCTGCCATAAGAGAATGTGCTCTCATCCAACCAGCATAAGTCAAGGACAAGACTGCACTGTAAGGGTGCATTCTGTGGCAGAGTTCCCTGAAATAAAGCCCTGTTAACAATAGTGCAATTTAATACTCATTCATGTTGTCAGGCACATAACACTCATTGGAAATAAAGGGGAAATTATTAGGTTATACCTCATATAAATTTATTAGTAGATTTAGGGTACTTTGGTTGAAGCTTTTAGCAATATGAGAATGCACTTTCTGTTTCACTGTATGTAAAAGATGCTCCTTGAACAGGGCAGATTTACTAAGGCCATGAGGATGATGCAATTAATCATCATTTTGATCTAGGTACACTTTCCTAAAAATGATGCTGTAGCTGAAGTACTGATTGGCTAGAACCTATCCAATATTTATTTATTCAACTGCATTTCTGTGCCTCCCAATAGCCAAAGCTCTCTGGGCAATTCACAACAGTTAATAGGTCTTGAATAAAATGTGCCTATCAAAGACATCACATTTCTTTAATGCTACAAATAGCAATGCACTGAGATCTAGGAACAAGAATTAGAAGAGAGTCTTCCTTTCTTAGCTGCTCTAGCTCTGAAGCTTGTAGCAAATAACATTTGTATTCTGAAGATCAAATCTAATGCTTACCCTCTCCTGCTCCTATTGCAGTAGCAGCCATCTTACAGGTTATTCTTGCATGGAAGTATCTTTGTTTACTATGATTGCATGCCAATACACCTCTCTTGTGCATCCTCGTCTGTGGAATGCTACACTGGTCCGGCTGCTCACATCTTCAGTTTTTACTTTCTTTTTTTATTCACAGGTCAGCTTGCAAGGATGAGTAACTCTCCTTGTATCACTTCCCCTCAAAGTAAGTATTGTATTAGTCTAAGACTCTTATTGGCAGCTAGTTTTACCAGCAGACCGCACTGAATGGGTGCATGTGTGAAGGGAGAGAACAGGCAAACGCAAGATCCAAAGTGAATGTAGCAAATCCATACATCTTGCATCACTTTCTCCTCCCCTTCAGGTTGCCTGAGACTGAACAACTCTACCAGAGTGCATAACTGAAAGGAAGGGACCTTCTATTGCTAGCACATTTTGTTAGTATCTCAGTGTGCCCTCTTGCTTTTGCTGGGGAACGCAAGTGGCGCAGCATACAGAGGCTTGAGTGAGATGAGCTTGTGTACTTCAGTTTCTCCAAACTGAAAGTATTCCTCTTCTTACTCATGCGTATGATTCCAACTGTTATTTCATATTTTAAAAAAATCCAAATGGGAGATAGCAGAGAGGAGTTTTGCAGTTGTAGAATCTATGGTGCATCTCAAACACCAGAATGAGCCAAGAGATGCTGACCTGTAGTCTAGTAGAAAAGTTTGAGCTAAACTTTGGCCCTTTATAATACCCTTTAAAATGTACATGCCACATTGTAATTTTCTGCATATGTTAAGTACTCCACTCGTGCAGTCACTCACATTTTCATTTTCCTGTCTCTCTGCTGAAATTGCTTTTTATTTCTGTGTAGATCACATTTTAAAAGCAGTTATAAGTTGCAGTTTGTTCAATTCAGAGTTAAGTAATAGGAGTAAAATGCACACAGCAACCTTATTACAGTCTTTTTAAGCTGTAGTGAAATTGCAGTAGTGCAGTAGTGTTGTGTCAGTAACATTTCCTGCCTTAAGGAACTGAACTTTCATTATATATGTAAGAAAGAGTGATTGAGCAACTAAGATGTTTGGTTATGCTAGGGAATATTGTACACAATGAACCTTCACACCAAGTTTGTTCAGCTGCAATTGGACTTACCTGTTAGATATGAGAAATCAAAACGCATGGTGCCAATGAAATCCTTGTGGTGGTTTTACACAACTAACCAAAACATTGGTTTCTGTAGGAACTATAATGCTTTAACCTATTTCCAGAAAGATATACATTTCAAGATGTCATTGCAGTGTTCCATATTGTAAATCTCTTGTGGTTCTACTTTAAATGTTCAGAAAGAACTTGTTCATACTGAGCGGCACTAAGAAAGTAACTCATAAGGAGTGAAATGCTAAGTGACTTGTCTTTAACATACAATTGTAGCCTCAAAATACTGATGTACACTTAGCATACATTTTATATTTGTTCAACATAACACTCTTAAGAGGAATTATATGGAAACCTGCGCAAAATAATTGTACTTACACAAGTTTATACATCTGTTCCTTGGATGCAAGCTAAATGGCATGTACTCTGATTTGTTAAAAAGAACTATCATGAATTATATGCCAGGCACAGCTTGCTGTACTTTAGAAAACAATATCTTCTAAGCAGCATTACAAGATCTTTACCAGCCATGTTCTTTTTTTAGTACCTGTTTTGTTTTATACAACTCATATGCTGAAAACTATGAAGCACTATTTAAGGCATTAACCACCAAAGAGATACAGATGGCAATTGCTTGTGCTAGATCTTCTTGTTTTAAGATAGCAAGCAGTTTTGAAATGTAATACAGGAGGCAACTTTAATATTGAATGCTAGATTTTAACATTCTGAATCTTTAAAATAAAAAGCACCAGTGTATTCTTCAATACCAGAATAGGTTTATTCCAAAAGCTTTGTTAAAGACCAGTGGCCCCAGACAAATGCAACTTGCAAAGGCCTTCCCAGTACATAGCTGATGCAGAGACACATTTCGATGGCCATCACAATTACCTACACCACATCTAGGTTCATCTATGTATATTTCAAAGCTCAGACTGCAAGAGAGGGGCTAATTACATGCTAGGCTAAAGCTACAAAAGGCAGATAAAAGAATTCCCTGCTTGCAGGGCCAGGTGAAATGAAAAAGAAGCATTGGTCTCTTCAACTTGAGAATGAATGGGGTTGTTGGATAGCCTCTAATTTCAGGCCTATACATATTCCAAATAAGTTATCTCCACTAATTCATTTGTCTCTGATCCTGATCTATTATTTCAATATTGTGGATGATTCTTCCCCTACTCTCTAAGATGTGTAGAAAACGCACAGCCCCTGACCGAATAATTCAATGTGTGTATGGGAGCTCAGATCACACAATCACACAACATCCACATTCATTTAAATGGAGGTACCAGGACCACATGTGCAAAGAGCTATTCTTCTAGAGCTGTCCTGTCCACTCAAATGAACAGAGAAGCAGTTTGTCCCTGAGAAAGCTGCTTGAGTGGGTGGTTGTTGAGCTACTCCAGGGATTCTTCAGTGATACTGATTGTGTAGATTCATTTCATTTGGTATGCCTTGGATTTGTCATGGGATCAGATTTATGACCTATGCTTGAAGAAGGCAGCCATAGGTGTTTCCTATTAATTCCTATAGGGCTCTCAAGGCTGTCAAAGCCAGCAGTCATGGTATCCTTCTAAACAGCTTTCTGAGGTGAGAACCAGGAACATTCCACTTCCATGGTTTCACTTCTACCTGGACAGGCATTTCCAGGTGTCACTGGGGTGTGTAGGTCTGCCTCAAGGCAGTTGTGCTGGGGTATGCTGCAGAGCTCTATTTGCCCCTGAGCTGGTCAATACCTGCATGGAACCACCAAATGGAATCCTCCAGGGCGGTGGGATTACTCTGGACTTGATGAAAGCCACTAAATTGGAGCTTGAGCAAAACAAGATGTGAGTAGTTTGCCCAACCTGGGAGGGTGGTAGAGCTCTAGAAAGGGATGACCTACCTCAGAAGGCTGAGGTTCACAGGTAATGCTATCATATCCAGCCTAGAGGCCCAAGGGTCTTCCCTTGGCATGAAACAGTTTTCACCATTATACATAACAGAGGTGTACAAAATTATGCATGGTGTAAAAAAAGTTTGTAGGGAGGCATCTAGTATCCCACTTTCATAATACTAGAACCTGAGATTATCCTATGAAGCTGATTGCTGGGAGCCTCAGGACAGATAAAACGAAGTACTTCTTCATGCAGTATAAAGCATGGAATTCATTGGTACAAGATGTAATGAGGACCATCAACATGGCTGGCTTTAAAAGTGAATTGGGCAAATTTCTGGAGCTTAAGAATAGCAATGGTTACTAGTCCTGATGACTATATGCTGCCTCCAGTTTCAGAAACAGTATGGCTGTGTACTAGTTGCTTTGGGAACATGGACTGAAGGGTGCTTTTGCACTCATGTCATGGGTAGCTGGTTGGCCTCTAGGCAAAAAGAATGGTGGACTAGATGGACCTTAGTCTGATTCAGCAGAGCTCTTCTTGTGTCCTTACCAGCTTAATCTGGTACACTATGCAGCCCTCCCAGAACAAAGAAAGTCTAGCCACAGCTATTCAGGCTCTAAGGAACATTCCCGTTTTGCCAGACACAAACAGCAGCATAGGAAATATCGAAAACGAGCAGCAAGTAATGTGCACACTGTGGTATGCACGAAGGGCTCTGAACTAAGGAAGCACTGTCAATCTGATACCATTTTTGTTTTCCCACCAATAGGCATCATGCAGTGGCTTCCATCAGATTTCTGTAAAATATTTCTTGACAGGAAAGCTGCAGTCAAATGGACAACGAAAGTGATGTAAGAACTGAGGAGGAGTAGAACTGCACTCAGACTGATGATAGAGATAGCCTGGCTGCAGGCTTCATAGAAGAAATGAAACAACCCCATGTGCAGCATCTCTGACATAAGATAACCAACTAGATCTGAAGACTGTAGCACAGTACTTTTGTTCTACAAGTTGTAGTTTGTAGGTGTTTGTTTTGAAGAAGAAGAAAAAAGATTTTTATTTAAAGCTAACTTGTAACAGCTACATCTTATATAACATGGCTCATCACTGGTGAAGAACACAGGCTGAAAAATACTGCTGCTACAATTAACAGCAGTACTAATAAAACACAAGCCCTGGGCACATAATGTTCAACCTGTTCAGTTTACAAAGACAATATTAATACTGTTTATATTAGGAGTTTGATTTCTGAATAGTTTGAGATTTTAGAACTCTTTCCTACACGCTGTACATTGTTTTTCCACAGTGGAAATTTTAAAAGCTACAATGATGCATTTAACACTGAATGAATATACTCCTGAGTGTACATATTTATAGCCCAAAAGCTAAATATTAGACTATGGTTGCAATTCTGAACCCAGTTGCTTGTGCTGAAATGTCTTTGGATATTAGTGGGACTTAAGTGCACACAACCAGATACAGGACTGCAGCCTTAGATTGCAATTTGTTCTACAGTCTTTCTGCAAAAAACAAAACAAAACAAAACAGACTTGTACAAAATGCACTAAAAGTATCTCTATGACTTAGGGCTACTACATAACTTAGGAATGTTTTCTTTCAAAGTAATCTAACAAATCAGCCATAGAAGTTAGTGTAAATATTTTCTTTCCAAATAGATAACATATACAAAAGGCAACATTCAAATAATATAGAATCTAGTTTTTAAAATCAGCACAGATCTTCTTAAAACTGTGAACTATGTTATAAAGCTGTTTATAAACCACAGGTGCCATAAAAACCCTGAACTAATGTTATGTATAATCTTTCATAGTATTATTTTATTGATGTTTTAGAACTTTAGTAAGCATGTGTTCTTTCACACTTCTTCACTCTTCATATCCTGTTTGTTGAGGCCTTCAGCTTTAAATGTACAGGCTTTAAAAGTGCGCTTGCAACTATTTTCTTTTATTTCTGAATGTGCATTGCCTTAGCCAGCCACCAGATGTTCTGCATGCATTCTTTGAAATGTGTTGTGAGACTTTTTTCAGGGCTGAATGGGGATATTAGCTATCTATGAAAAGCACAGGGGGGAGGAGTGTCCTAAAAAGATGTATAATTGCAGTGATAGCCCTTGAATTAATTCTTACCATCCAATTTTGAATACAACACTGAGAAAATAGATCATGGGCCTCTGCTTCCATCAGGATTATAAAAAGGGGGAGAATGTTGCAATGATTTTCTCAGCTTTTGCTATGCAGTGAATTAGCTAGTGACAGCTAACATCAGTGATATTTAAATAGGAAGAAAATGGTATGCAGTCTAGAAATTGCCAGAGTTCCATTAAGGTTTTTTTAGTACATGGTACAACAATGCTACAATCAGGCATCAGTTTTGTTAATCCAGAGTTTTATAGAAAAAATACACTGCTATTAAAATGGTTTTGCCTAAAGGACTTGCATACAGTTTGTCCAAGTTAGAAGTTTAATTTACCTGTTGATTCTATAAAGGGATAAGAACTAGATAACAATTTTAAGATTAAATGGTTACTACTAGTCTTCACATTTGCACAAAATCATTGCTACCACTGACCATCTTCCTCCTTGTGTCTATAGGTAATCAAATCACAAAATTCAGGCAACAGCAAAAAGTAAAATATGTTTACATAGATACATTCCCCAATCCTACATTTGCAATAACTAATCATTACTCCTGTAATATCTACCAATCTGATATGGTGGGTACTATATATAACCTTTGACAGCTTACCTCTCCTATACCCTTTTCTCAGGAACTGGTTAGCCTCTACTAGTGCCTAGCACTAATCAAGTTAAAACTACAAGTAAATTGGCAAATCTTGCTTACACCTCAGGACTCCAACCAGGTATTTCCTGAAAAAAGAGGCAAAATGGACTAGAACATAGCTATATCTGAATGATTCAAATTCAGCCAGTTGGAGTGATAACCTTGTTGCTTTAACACAAACTTTCTTTATGCACCAACATTACATGTGAGATCCATGCATGGATTTAACCATAGCAAGATCTGTATAGCATTATTATTGTCTACACAAACCTAGCACCATTCTCTCAGCACTGGTTTCAGCACAGAATCCCCAAGCAGAGCTCTAGGTGGCCTCTGTACTCTGGAACTCAAAGATGAAGCACTTTTTTATTTGCCTCTCCAAAACCAAAATCTAGTTTTACTATATTACCCAGCTGTTAAGCTGGCAATGGCTCAGCAACAGCAATGCTTTCCCCTGATTTCCCTCCAACATGTGGCGGAAAAGTTGGAGAGTGCCGCTCTTCCAACACATTCAATCTCCAGAACTGCCAGACATTCATGTACAAGCATAACAGTTGAATTAAAGTACACATGTGTAAAATGTCACAGATTTTGATCCAGGTCTCATGGTCAATCCCCAGGTTTTATTTGGGATGTCAAAAATGCTGCTGAGGCATTGGAGAGTTGCAGTTTATGTGTGCACCCTATTCAAACAAGCACGGATGTGGATGTCTGGTGGGACAGGTATGTCTAGGGGGGTGGCACAGAAATGTGTGATCTCCCATACAGGGAGACACATGTAAGAATGGTTAGGTAAAGCTTGTGTCTGAACTGGACCTAAGTTTTAGCCCACTCAGTCCATGTCTGTTTTTGTTAACCTTGGTTTGGATTGTGAACTTTAAAGTTACAGAAATGGTTGAACTGGCCTTTTATGTATGGCCAAACACTGCAACCAAAAATTCATTGTCGATTGTCAGTGGAAAGGTAGTTAGAAGGAAGGAATCAGAATGTGAAGATGAATAGGATTCTTGAATGTTGAAACAAAAGATGGAGGATAGAGACTCTGTAAGTAGTAATGTTAATTAAAAACCGCATTAAAAGGTGTGTGGCCTTTGTTGTGATAATATGTATTTTCTTATATGCATGAGACAAAAATGTTGCATCATTATTTAGCACAGATGTCTGCCTTTACTCATTTTCTCAAATTCTTATAAGTTTTTTTTAATTGCTGTAGATATATATATAGTAAATACTGCAACTTCAGGTTGCAACAGTTAGGTTGGTTCAAATCAGTGCAAGTTGCCTTGGATGGCAAGCACTCCACTGTGTCCTGAGAAGAGAGGGCATTTTTACTTGCGAACCAAAAATGTATGAAGAGTTACATCTTGAGGTTACTAACTGTCTGATGTTTTTAACTGCTGTTATTTCTCACCAGTCCAGACAGACACACATTACAAATTTTACATTATTCATCGGTATTGTAAACAAATATTATTGTATGGGGGTTTTTTGTATTGCTGTTAAGTATCGTTTTGTGTGTGTATGTGTGTTCAAACCTACTGGGGACATGTTATATTTTGAAGTGATTAAACTATTTAATTGTGTGTCTATATTTTGGAATGGAATTATTTCTTCATTAAAAAAAGAATTTTTAAAAGTAATTTACCAAGCCTCATTTTCTGTTGTTTATTCTGGTTTAGGATAATTCAAATTATCAGATTAGGATAATTCTTCTTCAAGATTATGTAGATAACTTTGCATATTTCTAAAAGCATCTCTAGCCAACTTTTCTTATTTATCTATAAATGCCAAGGCAGATAACATTCAAAAATTTTAAATGACAAAAAAACACATCAAAGCCAGACAAGATGAGATTTCCAGCATCGACACAGCCAAATATAACAACATTCCTGTTGCATCAGAACAAAAATTGTGTTGGAACAGATGGTCCAGGACTGTGGTCATGAAGACACTAGCATATCCCATGTTGTTGCAGCCTCATATTGCTAAAACATGCTAGGATCCTTTAATAAACCAGTTTCAGTCTGTATGGAGGTGGGGTCAACTCACTCTAAAACTCATATTTAAATCTTAGTTTTCTCTTGTTCCTTGTTGGAACCAGGTATGGTTAATTCTGCGTGGTTTCCAGCCTCATTTGAAGATATCTGTGATGCTAATCTCATTTTATGTGAGAAACAACCTGAAACCTGGTAATATTGAATAACAGAGATTCCTGCAACTCAGGATTGCAGCTCCACAGCCTAAAGGTAGGCTATACAGAGAACTTTGGAGTGTTCTGGGGTTTCCCATTCCTGAATTAAAATGTAAGGAGTTGACAACACAAAATAGATGCCCTTTGTGATTATGCAGAAAGACTGAAAATAATGCTCCATGCATCTAATCTGTGAAACTTTATGCCACAATAAGAGACCTAGTTTTTAAAGCTGGGAACATGTCAACATCCCCTAATTTATTCCCTGACTTCTAAAAAAATGTTGACAAGCTCTACTCATTTTTTTTATATATTTGGATTTTGCGGGAGAAGTTAGTAATGGATTGAACCTTTGCTGCTGCTGCTGATATACTGAAAGTTCAGTCTCTTTTTCCTGGCTCTGCATATACTCAACAGCACATTGGTGGTTCCACCCCCATTAATTCATTAGTTCCAGCTAGTGAAAAGGTTCCAAGCAAAGTCCAAGATGAAGCCTTTACCAGTGCAATACTATATATATCATTACATTTGTATCAGGCCTTTCCTCCAAGGAGCTCAAGCTAGTGTATATGGTTCTCTTTCCTATTTGCATCTTCACAATAAGTTTGTCAGATAGGTTAGATGAAGACAACAAATTCAATCAGTTTCATAGCAGAGTGAGAATTTTAACCCAAGCATCCCCAAGTCCGGACCTAGTACTCTAACCCAGAGTAAGTTACTCATTGCCTTCCAGACATTTTGGACTACAACTTTCATAAATATCAGCCAGCATGGCCAGTGGCCAGGAATTATGGAAGCTGCAACCCAAAACATTTGGAACAAACCAGGTTGCCTAACTGCTCTAATACTATACTTGTTCTCAGGACATGTCTCACTGAATTCAATGGGACTTCCCTCATAGTAACTGGATATAGCACTGAAGTATGAATGAACATAGGCCAAAGCAAAAGGAGATGATCATACTGCTGAAACTAAATTAGGTTTGCCACAAACAGCTTGGAAGCACCAGATTCTCTTCTGTGATAGCAAGCCATTCAAGGAGGACTACACAGCCTGGAACCAATTCCAGTCAATTAAGTGAACCAATCAACCAAACCAGTGTTTCAGCTGAAAGTGACCTGAGTATGAAAGCCTTAAAAGGGGAAAACCATGGCATCAGATGTGTTTTTGAAAGAAAGCAGCTATCAATGCAGGTAATTCTAACCACAGTGCAGAAATAGCACAGTCCCAAAAGGCTTCAAGTTCCCAGGTATCCCATGTTTAGCCCTTGTTTCCAAGGCAGCAGCTCTGAATCTCTTCCCTGTATTTTTCTGTTCACAGTGTGTGCCACTAGAACTTGAAAGTTTTCTTCAAGTTTAGAGCAACAAGTATAGAGCAATAGCTTGCCTTTTGCATATACTATTCTTTTTAAGTTTTCTGTGGAGTGCAGAGTATCTTTATTCAGTGATTTCATTCCAAATAGCAAATGCACTCATACCATATCCTGAAATCCTTTATGCTGAATGAAAGGCCTCGGTTTGAGAAACAGAATAATTAACACTCCAGGAAACTCTGCTACTAGGAAACTCCCTCTGCAGTTTTTGAAAAAAAGGAAGGCTTTTGTGACATGTAATAAGAGTTAGGCAGAAAAGCAAACTTGTAGTAAGGTGCAGCAATTTTAAAAAGTCTGGTTTCCAACAATGAGAAATTTAAATTGTAGTGATTATTTTTTTCCTTGCTTCAGTTGATTTAACTGCTTTCTAAGTAGACCATTTAACTCTACAATGTTTAATCTTTGTTCTAGATTAGTCTAAAAGCCTAGAAGTAGTATATTCAAAATTGCAAGAGAGAACGGTTGCTGCATTTCATTGATTAGATTTATAGGATAAGCCTATACAGAATCCTGTAATACCATAAAGACTAAGGGCATAATCATATTGCAGTAATCATAAGCCCTGAATTCAAAGGTTTACAATCGGTCTTGTGCTCTGCAATTTTGCCGGACCAGCATTTTTATGTTTCAGAGGGAAAGGAAGAAGAATGGAAAGGCCCCAGGATAGCCTGTATCTTGACATCTCCGCCCTCCTCCTTGTCCCCTGAAATGCCCTCTTTTCCCTCCCTCTGAGGTTCTCTTCCTGACCTTGTGAGGCAGCTATCCCAGTTCATTCAGCTCTGATAGGAAGGAGGGTGGATTGTTGATTGCAGTTGAAATGCCATCCCTGACCTAGAAATTCAAAGAATCATATGGCCCCTCAGACATGGTTTAGTAGCCATAAGATTACCCCCTAACCAATTTGTGGTGGCATAAGGTTCCATGGAATAGAATTAATCAGATGTACAAAAACAGGGCAATCCTATGCAAATTCACTCAGGAATAAGCCACGCTGTATTAAGTGGTTCCCAGATAAGTAGGCATGGCATTGCAGCCTACATTTGCACTCTCAAGTGCACTCATTGTGTGTTGGTTATTTTATATGACATGTTATTTAATGCTTTGCTGAACTCACACATCTGTATAAACAGAAATAGTGGGAGTTCTTTCTAAGTAAGCACTAGCAGTTCACCTGTACTAATGTGCATGTTTACAAAAGTCGGCATATGATATTCCCTTTCTTAAAAAGGATTCTCAAATTCAGATAGTTTCACATTTTGTTTCATCAAAAACCTGCAGATTCCAATGAGACGTGCCCAGGTGAGTTTAAAATGGAATGCATTTCTGCTAACATAATGCAGTTTCTGCTGGATCAGTTGAATGAACAAATAAAATCCATAATTCACTTTTATCTGCCTGAGTTCTTCTAGCTGGCCAGCATTAACACGGAAAAGTGTATCTGTTCACATAATGCAAGGCACTTTCCCCAGAGATACTTGTAAATACAATTCTTCACTCCGGCACATCAGCTATAACAAAATACATTTTGGTAGTCTAGTAAAAGTTCATGTCTATACATATAGTGAATGAAAGTATTGCTTTAAATAATATTAATGATTCATATGCACAGGTCCCAATGTGCTTAAGATAATCATGACTATCAAACTGAAAGCTGTAGGATGTAAGTTAACACTAAATGGTTCAATCAATCAGTTGCATTGGGAATTGTTGCTTTGTGCCACCAAGTTATCCCCAACTTTTGGTGATCCTATCAATGAGAGTGAATGTCTAGTCCTTCACAGCCCTACTCAGCTCTTCTAAATTCATGGGAAAGGATGTGCCAAGCCTCTTAGGAATTGAAGAAAATTGGAGTCTTTCCAGTTCAATCTCTTCTGTTACTACACTAGGTAAACAAATCCAGACTGCCTTTGAGTTAGAACATCACAGAGCTGATCAGTTATGGGTTAGGTGCAAAGGAAAGAAAAGCTCCACAGAGCATAAGTTCAAGAAACTCAGAGGAATAACAATAAGGGGTTTTTAAGGTAATGCTTGTTTGTTCCAATTACCATCAAAGTTGGTCCTGGCACAATTAATTTCCCAGCTTCTGGTTCTATGATTAGTGATCTAGGCAGTCCTCAGATAAAATTACAGCAGCACAGCTACAGAACAGTCTGCTGACTAGCAGGGAAAAGCAATGCCATTATTTGAAAGCAATCCATTATTTGTTTCATTTCAATGGAACAGAGGATTACAAAGAAGCATCTTTTCAGGCTCTGGCCCAGTTTCTGGTTCTTTTCGAATCTTTGGATCAACCAGCTAGTTAGATTTCCCAAAGATGATTAACTCTGCAACTGAAACAACATCTGTGATAACATTGCAGTTTCTACCCTGTATCCAAAGAGTGTGTGTATTTGATTGAAAGGCATTAAATCTGTGCTCCTCCAGGCAATTCTTAAAGGAATTTCGATAGAAACAACTGAAGTGTTTCATTGCTATGCCTCCATCCAGCTTTTAAATAGCCTATCTTAACATTTCTAATGCCATGTTTAAAACTATAAACAAGAGATTGATGCTTTGACCAATAGCAGAGAAACAGCTTTAACTAGAAGCCAGCATTTTCAACTTTTACATTACAGCAGGCATGAGAAAGCATGAACAATATTGTAAGCATTAATTACTGCATATGCTGCTGATATTGTATTAATATTCATGCTTTTCATCATGGGAACTTCTGGCTTATGAAACTTGAAAGGTTTTTTATTATTTTTTCAGGCTCATGCTATCTTTATGTTTTCAAAGTGTGTATTTTACTCAACATTCACAGTTAAACATGCGTTTTCCGGGTGAAGCAAACTTCTTTGTCAACATTGTTGTGAAGAAAGTGATCTTGTGAGGTTAAAGTTTATTTTGTGAAAGTGTTGCAATTTTTGAAGACAGAAGTGTTAATAGTATCAGAGGAGGAAACTATGTCTTTAACTCAAGGCATGAGCCAGAGAAGAGAGGCATTTCTCTCATGTGCTGGTTGAGTGACTGCAACCGCTACTGTTACTATAGAGAGGTGACCATGAGCCCAGGTCTTTTGTATCTAGGAAGGCTGG